AGCCACCATGTGGTTGCTGGGAATTGAACTCAGGACCTTTGGAAGAGCAGGCAATGCTCTTAACCTCTGAGCCATCTCTCCAGCCCTGTATGTATATCTTTGTGTGTGGCTGTGTATGTATGTCTGCATGTGTGTGTATGTCTCTCTGTGTGTATGTCTGTGTGTATGTCTCTCTGTGACATACGTCAGTGTGTCCATGTGTTTATGTCTGCATGTGTGTGTGTGTCTGTGTGTCTGTGTGTGTCTGTCTGTCTATGTGGAGATCAGAGGCTTGGTTTTCTCCTTCCTTGTTTTGAGGCAGACGCTCTTGTTTCTGCCATACATTGTACTCCATGTTAGCTGGCCCAGGAGCTTCCAGGCGACTCCCCTGTCTCTGTCTGCTACCTCATAGTGCTAGGATCACAGATACATGCCCACAATTGGCTTTTTTTTCTTTAAAAGTCAAATAATTTGCTGGGCGGTGGTGGCGCACACCTTTAATCCCAGCACTTTGGAGGCAGAGGCAGGCGGATCTCTGTGAGTTTGAGGCCAACCTGATCTACAAGAGATAGTTCCAGGGCTCCAAACCAACAGAGAAACCCTGTCTCAAAAAACCAAAACAAAACAAAAGTAAAATAGTTTATTAGCACATAGAACCTTGCAGCAAAAAAAAAAAGAAGAAGAAAAGAAAGAAAGAAAGAAAGGAAGGAAGAAAGAAAGAAAGAAAGGAAGGAAGAAAGGAAATTGCTTTCTGATCAGCATTGGGAAGGAGCAGAGCAGTGCCTGTGTCCTGCTGTCTTCCCAGGGTGCACTTCTGATTCGCAGCCCAGGAGTGTGGCCCCCATTCTCACAGCTGCAGAGTAAGGCCTGGGTCACAGATACCATCGCCCTTTCATCTCAGACACTGTAATGAAACTCAACAAGCAGGCGGTGCACTCTCAGGGCTGTCTAAAAGCTCCCTCTTCCCACAAGAGCAGTGATGAGGGCACCTTTTGTCCCACACTCCTGGTTTGTGGTGGAGGAAGGGCAGGTGTGAGGCACAGATAGAGGCACAGATAGAGGCACAGATAGCCCCTGATAGACTTTTGTTCAGCTCACACCAGGAGACCATTGATCTTGAAGACTCCGTGATTTTCTTCTCTACGTTCTTTGCTGCTGCCTGTGTCTGTAGCCTCAAGAATGGGTTCTTCTTCTGATAGTAGTTGGCTTTTCCTCCCCTTTCTCCTCCAGAGAGGTTGTCGCTGCTGCTACTTTCACCCGACCTCATGAGCCAGATGCCCCAGGTACACCAGCTTTCTGGTAGGCGTCAGCCCAACCACCTTGAGGGCAGCAGGGACCACCACACACTTTTCTTGTCATAAGGCAGAGGGATGCATGCAATGCCCTGAGTTGTTCCAGGGCAGCCAGGTCTTGCTTGGTTCTGTGTGGCAGCATGCCTCATAGTGTACCAAAAAATGCGGCTCAAGGCTCAAAAGTAGTAAGGGCCTCGAGAGGGGCTGGTGTTCATCTGCTTTCGGAGAGAGGCCAGGTACTTTAACTTGTTTCTGTAGAAATTTCCAGACGTGCTAATGCCCTCTCACTGCCCAGCCACCACCGTTCTGCCCAGTAGTACGTGCATAACCACAGTGGCGGCCAGGTGACTGTGCCTCTGCCATCTTGGGCAGTTGTGTGGGGAAGTTTTTGTTTTTTCCTTAAACGTGGTTCCAGGAATCAAACTTGGGCAGTCAGTCTTGCATGGGAAGCTTTTTTTCCCCCTGAACTCACTGACCTATCTTGCCAGCCCCAGCTTCTGATTCTTGTAAAATATATGTATTTTAATATTTATTTATTTATTATGCATACAATATTCTGTCTGTGTGTATGTCTGCAGGCCAGAAGAGGGCACCAGACCCCATTACAGATGGTTGTGAGCCACCATGTGGTTGCTGGGAATTGAACTCAGGACCTTTGGAAGAGCAGACAATGCTCTTAACCTTTGAGCCATCTCTCCAGCCCGTTTCTAAGGATATTAAAGTTCAGAGCCAGCCATGGAGCAGGTTGCCAGAGGCAGAACTGACCCACAGATGCCCAGACACCACCAGAGGGAGACAAAGGTTGAACCCTCTAGTTGTGAGCTGGGCAGTCTGGTCAAGAGCCTAACCTATCCTGGCCCAGGGCTGAGCCTGGCAGCAGTTCAGAGTCTCTGGATCACCCAGGACATTTCGGTTCTTTCGGTTCTAATAAACAAAAGGCAAATAAGTGTCTGGACAAGGAGACCACAGCCATGAGGTCAGGGTAAGGCTGTCTCAGCCTCTGGGCAGCAGGCTGGATGCTGGGCAGCTAGAGCCCAAAGGGATAAGGGGCTTTTTAAGCTTAGTGAGTTCTAAGGATACAGAGTCTGGCCAAGGTCAAGGCCCAAATGTGACAGTCATTCTCGGGCTGGTTGCAGAGTACTGGGCAAGGCAGGAGAAAGGGCCCGTCAGGAGTGGCGGGTGGCACTGAGTCAGGTCTGAGAGGCTTGGGGGACGTGGAGGGTTTTTTTCTGGGGGGGGGGAGACTCAGGGTTGACATGCCAGTTGGGGTGGGGGTGGCATCTGTAGTTAAGTGAGGATGTTTGCATGAAGTCCCACGGGAGCCTCCTCCCCAGCAGCTTGTCCCTTATCTGTCCATATCATTTGCACACTGATCGCATGGATCTACATGGATCACAGCAGTCCATGAAAGAGAAAAACTGAGGCATGAGAAGCCATTGGTCCCGTGGTACACCACCATGTGGTGGCCCTTGGATCTGAACCCAGACAGGCTAGCTCCAGAGTCCGTGGTACCAGTGTCAGTCCCCGCCCGCTCTTTAGCTCCATTCCCTTTCTGAGGACTCAGCCCCCATCTCAATCTCAGCTTGGTTTCCACACCATCCAGCCAGTGTCCTCTTAGCTGCTCTGTCCCCCAGGCCTCCTCCCCTTCCTCAAGCAACGCTCCAGTTTGACTCCCCCCCTGGCTGGCTCAGGCCAGGAAGCAAGACCAAAGACCTCTCTGGTAGCCCCCCAATTTGAAGGGTGGGACAGAGCAGGCCCAGGCTTGGGAGTGGGTGGGGGTGAGAGGCCCTGCCGAATAGTGGTGGGGCTGCTGTGTACCTTGGCAGGGGGACAGCGAAGTGGGAGGCCCTTGGAGGGCAGGCAGGAGGGGGCTGGGTGACTGACAGCTCTGAGCTCTCTGTTCCTTTTGTTGTCCTGTGAATCTCTCAGCTCCTTCCAGCTTGGAAGAGACACAGGGACCCTCACCCCAACCTCTCCCTGCCTCCCTTCAGTTCATTTAAACCCCTCCATTGCATTCTTTGCTTCTATCTCTTCTCCTGGGGTGCCTCTTCGACCTCTGCAGCCTGGCTACCAACGGTGCCCTGGACTCCAACCACCTGCCCATGGCTGGAAGGGACACTTTTCTGTGAGAGAGACCTGGCCCTGTGGGCCTCTCTGGCTTCTAGGAAACACTGGCTTTATGATGGCTGCTCTCTGGCTCCTGGTTTCCCGCCTCAGTGACATTTCTCAGTGCTTCTTCGCAGCCGCCCTCCTCTGTCTGGTCTCAGATGCAGCTGACCCACGCTATGTCCCCCAGCTTCTCCACACTCCATGGCAACAAGGCCAGAAGTCGACAAAGGACGCTGTAATACCAACCCAGAGGTTTCCTTTCCCTTCTCACTCCTCAGGTTCCCACAGATTCCCGCCACCCTGCTTTTCCTGGGCTCCACCATTCCCAGGCCACTAACTAGAAACTCAGACTTTTTTTTTTTTTTTGACAACTTGGGGAGGAAAGAGTTTATTTCAGCTTACACTTCTAGGTGACAGCCCATCACTGAGGGAAGTCAAGGCAGGAATTCAAGCAGGGCAGGAACCTGGAGGCAGGAGCTGATGCAGAGACCATGGAGGGGTGCTGCTTTCTGACTTGCTCCCGATGACTTGCTCAGCCTGCTTCCTTCCTTCCTTCCTTCCTTCCTTGTTTTGTTTTGCTTTTCAAGACAGGGTTTTTTTCTCTGTAATTTGGAGCCTGTCCTGGAATTTGCTCTGTAGACCAGGCTGGGCTTGAACTCACAGAGATCCGCCTGCCTCTGTTTCCAGAGTGCTGGGATTAAATGATCACCTGTCAGTCTGCTTTCTTAGTAGAACCCAGGACCTCCAGACCAAGGATGGCCCCACCCACAATGTACTGAGCCCTTCCTAGTCAATCATTATTTAAGAAAAAGCTTTACAGTAGGATCTTAAGAAGGCATTTTTCAACTGAGGCGCCCTTCCTGCACATAACTCTAGCTTGTGTCAAGCTGGCATAGTCTAGTCAGCACACAGGGTCTCTCTATGTAGCCCTGGCTTTCCTAGAACTCACTATGTAGGCCAGGCTGGATTTGAACTCAGCTGAGTGCTGGGATTAAAGGCAAGTGACATGTGCCCACCCTCCTTTTTAGACACCTTCCCTAACACTCAAATTCTGTCTGTCTGACTACCTGAACTCCTCTCAGAGTTGACCCTCCCTCCGATTTCATAGCTACCGCATTGGGCCATCCCAGGACTCCCTGTGACCCTTTCTGTTGTCTGTGCAGGAGCAAAAAGGTTCTTTCAAAGCACAATCCTGATCACCCCAGAGTTTTCCATGGCTCCCCATTTCCCTGAAGGTGACATCTAACCAACTTCAGCAAGACCCTTGCCTTCCTTCGTGGCTGCACCCGCTCAGCTCCCCAAGATCAACCGGCCCATCATGATCTCCTCTTGTCCCCCTTAGTCTTCCTGGCTCAACCTAGGTCACCGTGTTGGGGGAGCCTTGTGTGGATTCCTTAGGAATGGTACCCCACAGACCACTCCATGCACCCCACCCTCTTTTTCAGTGGCAGTGTTCCCTTGACAGGAAGCCGTCTAGGGCCGGGGTCTACGGAGCTCTGAGGCTGCGGGCGGGTTGTGCTGCGGGCGGGGCGTGAGCCCTTGGCTGTGGCTATGGAAAGAGCAGGGCGGAGGCCCCGCCCCACCGCGCCCCTCCCGCCGCCCGCCCACTCGGCCGGGGCGCGGGGTAGCGGGCAGAGCAACGCAGAGTTCCAGGGGCTCGGACCGGACCCCGACGACGCCCCGGCCCCGAGCCTGCGCCATCTGGGTCGCCCTCGAGAACCGGAGCGCCCCTCGGAGGCCTCCCTGCAGGTAAACAGGGGGCAGTGCTGCTGGGGTTCGGGTTGGGGGGCTACGAGGGCTAGTTGCGGTCAGGTGTCCACCCCTGACGGGGCGCGGCGCCTCAGGCCCTAGTGTGGGGACAGGACCTGGGGGCGACTAGTGCTGGGGGTTGGCCAGAGGATGAGGGGAAGCCCACCCATTCCCTGGATGTAACGAAGATAGAGCCCCTTGTTTCCTGCTCCAAAACCGTGACTCGGGGTGTCACTTCACTTCACCTATAAAACGGGAATAGCAAAACTGCTTTCGTGGTGAGGTAGCGGAGAGGGGGAGGTGAGGGGACTCAGCTTCCACCTCACCCCATCTTTCTCCCCATCTTTCTGCCATTTCTGCTTCTCCAGCGACCTCCAAGTTACTTGGGTTTTCTGTCTCTACCCCAAGTTCTTTCTATTTTGGGTAACCTGGCAGCCTCTACCCGACACCGGAGGCTGAGGTTCTGAGGAATGTCCCTGCCAGAGGCTCTGCACCCCCATTCCCATTGATACTTGTAGGGATTGAGGGGGTTGTGCCTGGCCAATAGTGGCTGGGGTCCCAGGTCCTTGGAACAGCTTTTTGGTATCTCCACCACACAGATCCCAGGAGGCTCCCAGATAGAGAACAACTAGTCAGCCAAAAAGCTTCTGGAGTTGAACCCAGGACAGGTCCTTCTGAATTTGCCTGGAGTGTGCATGTGCACTTGTGTATGTATCTGCTAGAGACACCTTGTGCAGAAGAACAGGCTAGATTCCTCACACAGAAATGCCTCTGAACTTGCAGGGTGCTCTGCTGGCCCTGATGTCTTCTTTGCTGCGGCACTGCCTGCTATAGTAAAGCAACTTCCCAGAACCTATGATGGGCTGTGGGGCAGGGCTGTTGGAGGGGGTTCAGAGATAACTAAGATAGCAGATCCTCACTATCCTGAGTGAGGAGCCCACCCCCTTTGTGGGGGCCACAGGGAGAGCTAGCGGTCTTAGTGGAACAAAGATTCAGGGCTAGCCTCTCTTGGGGTGGATGAACCCAGATGGAGACTTGGACTAGAATCCCCTAAAAAGATAAGCAGCACAAACCAGTCAGATGCAGCCACGCTCCCTCCCACTGAGACTCATACACAGTCACACACCGAATAAAAGACTAAGACACACAAGACCGTAGTCTTCCCACAAATGCTAAAACAGTGGCATGTATTGCACACGCAATCTCCAACAGACTCACAGCAAGCCCCATGTGGTCCAGCCAAGCATACTTCCACAGGACAGTGTGCACACACAGGTTCACACTCTTCTGCTCACCAGGGTCTCTCTGGTTTCACTTGGTCTACCCCAAGTGAACATGAGTGTTTCCACTCTGGCCCAGAGGAAAGGAAAGAATGGGAAGGGAATGTGTCTCTTAGCAAGCGGGGCGGGGGGGGGGGGGCGCGGGAATGCCAAATACACACAGCTGTCAGCCCAAGCCCCCAAATCCTACCAATTCCCTGCACTGGGCCCTAGCCAGGCCAAAGGATGTGAGCCCAACTTCCCTGCCCTGCTGGCCCTTAGCTTTCTCCAGAACCCCAGTGACAGGCATGGGGCTCTCTATAGGGAAGTAGAGCCTCAGGTGAGCTGGTCCTAAGGTACTTACAGAGTTGAGTGGATGAACTAGAGGCACAGGCATCTCTCATATGGGGTACAGCTGTGATCTCTGGGTGCCCGTTGAGGCACACAAAGAGGTGAGGTCCTATGCAAGCCAAATGCAGGGCTGAGTATGGGGAGAGAGGGTCAGAGGTGACACAGGCTCTCAAAGATAGAGTTTTGTCAGTGGGGCCACACAGTAGGGAGTTGAGGGAGCATACTATTTTGAAGCCAGGATTCTAAGGCTATTTCTCTAGAGACCGGGTGTGAGCTGCCTAGGTGTAAGCTGGGAGTGACTGGCTGATGAAGGGAACAGCTTCCTCTTCCAGGCAGGGAGATCTTGGAGGAGGACCAGGTGGTGTGAGAAGAAAGGTGATGGTAGCTAAAGTGGGTGGTTGCCATGACGATGAGAGGAAGGGGTTCATGACAATGTACTCGTATAATTACGGAGACAGCAGAGGGCAGGCTGGGAGCCTTGTGTTACAGCACTGTGGCCCATCCCCACAGGAGACAGGTGCACAGAAGACATGAGATTGGCTTCCAGTTTTATAAGCTATAAGTGGGGACTGGAGCTAGGTGTGGCCATTGAGTTGGGGGTCACTGAGCATGTATAGGAGCCTGGGTGTGTCTACAAGGCCAGGAAGTGCACACAGGTATGCAGACATGAGCCAGGGAAGCCATGCTCTCTGAAAGAGAGGTCTCAATCCCTCTGTTTTCTGGTTGCTTCCAGAGTAGGAAGGGTATAGCCAATACACATGCAGTTTGAAGAGTTGACCCTTGCCGTCTCTGTGTCTCAGCTTCCCTATTGACAAAACCCCTTTCTGGGGTTATGTTTTGCTTGTGGAAAGGTGACCAGGAGGAGTGACCTGAGGTTACTTTTGTCATAGAAATAGCTCTCGGAACTTTCTGACTCATGTGCATCCCACCTCCCTGGTTGAATTTTGGCACATAGGAGTGTTGACCCCGTATCATCCAGATACAAAACGTAGAAACTTTTGAATGGGACACTAACTGTTCCCATACAGATGGATGGGTGTGCCTGTGTTGGGAGAGTGGAAAGGCCTGTAATGGGGACAGGCAGCTGGTAAGCACCTCATGGGGAGAGCCAGGCCAGCATTACTGGCCAAATCTGGGATGGGATCAGAGACTCAGGTCAGATCATCTGTGGCCACACAGCAGCCAGAGGCAGAAGTGACAGCAAAGGCCGGACTTTTCTCCACAGTTTGCTTTCTCTCACAGGTCTAGCGGGGAGCCGGGGTGGAGAGAACCTCGTCATATTACCCGACATGCTAATGTTTCTCTTTCTTTTTAAAAATAATGTATTTATTGGGGCTGGAGAGATGGCTCAGTGGTTAAGAGCACTGACTGCTCTTCTAGATAGAGGACCCAGGTTCAATTCCCAGAGCCCACATGGCAACTCATAATGGTCTGTAATTTCCAGTTCCAGGGGACCTGACACCTATGGCAAAATAGCAATATATATAAAATAAATATAAATTAAAAATGTCTTTATTGTGTGGCTGTTCTGCCTGAGTGCATATCTGTGCACCACATGCATACAGTACTGTTGGAAGCCAGAGTGAATGTTGAGTCCCAGGAAACTTGAATCACGGACAGTTGTGAGCTACCGTGTGGGTGCTGGGAACTGAACCTGGGTCCTCTGGAAGAGCAGCTAGTGTTTTTAACCACTGAACCATCTGTCCAGCTCAGACACCCTATAATTTCAATTCCTCTTTTTTCTTTCTCTTTTTCTCTCTCTCTCCTTCTTTTTTGATTTTTTTCTGGTTTCTCTGTAGCTTTGGAGCCAGTGCTGGAACTAGCTCTGTAGACCAGGCTGGCCTTGAACTCACAGAGATCCGCCTGCCTCTGCATCCGGAGTGCTGGGATTAAAGGTGTGCACCACCACCGCCCAGCGCTCTTTCTGTTTCTCTGAGAGAGTATAACAGTTAAGAGTTGGTTGGGAATTTAACCCTCTGTTCATGTAGTTCTAATCCTGTAGCACTAGTGCAAGGCAGGGGAAGGGTGGCCCTGCTAGTTAGTTGCCAGCCGATTTGCTGAGCAGGGCTGGAGTGATGGCACCATCTCTAGTCCTTCGCATTAACCAGAGTTTCTTTGCTTTGGGGACCCTCAGGCTCAGCATTTTCAGCATGCTAGGCATCTCTCTAACACAAGATGGCTTTTTCCCCCTTTTTTCTCCCCTCCCTCCCCGAGAGGTACCAGAAAGTCAAGCCTATGGAAAGAGTTTGGAAAGGAAGGTATCTGAGACCTCTTAGTGGTCCCTAGCAGGGACACCTGGCAGTGAGGGACACCAGTTCCTCCAAGCAAGGGCTCTGAGCCCAGGCTCTTGGCCTCACCTGTGGGCCTTGACTGGTTGCGGTGAGACCTCAGTGGCCATTCTTTGGAGATGAGCTGGTGATACTGGCCTGGCCTTCCCTGGAAACTGTGGGTGGGAAGCCATTTCTCCTCTGTTCGCTCCCAGGAGCCCACACTCTTCTTTCCTTTTTTTTTTTTGTGGGTCCCCCTATGTAGCTCGGGTTGACCTGAATCTCTCTGTGTAGCCCAGGCTGACCATAAACCCACCATCCTCTTGCCCCAGCCTCTTGAGATAGAATTACAGGCGTGAGCCACCACGCCTGGCTGAGGCCAACTTTCTGGCACCCACCGCTTCCAGCATCCCAGTCCTTAAGACCAGGAAATTCTCCCTTCTGTCTAGCCGCCTTCTCTCCCACTGTGCTGGCTGCTACAGAGCTTGCATGGGCCCTCCAGGCCACACTCCTGACAGGCGACCACGGGCTTATTAGTTCGCGGCAAACATTCTTCTCATAGTTCCTGGAGCACAGCAAATCTGCTGCTTAGCCAGGAATGCAGAGGTCCCTCCTGCAGTGGCAGCAGGGACTGGGGAGGGGGTGGAAGTTCTGGGGGTGAGCCAAGCTGGAGATGTGCTGAGGGGATGTGGAGACACCCCCCTCTGGGAACACTATGCCTCAGCCGGAGGAACAAGATGGAAGGCTGTCTTTTGCATCTTTGGACATACCCAGCTCGGCACCGAGCTCTGAGACGGTCCTGTAGTGGCTTGCTGATGAACTTGGGCAAGTGCCCCCCCCCGCCCTGTGCCTCAGTTTCTCATCTGTAAAGTGGGGTTTAGAGCTCATGTCTGCTGGGAGATGTCATGGCGGAGATCTATTAAGTAATTGCAGTGGACATGGATTGAGTTCCTGTGTGGCAATTTAGACTAAGTCCAGGATACAAAGGTAGGTTTTTTTGTTTGCTTGCTTGCTTTTGTTTTTTTCGAGACAGGGTTTCCCTGTGTAGCCTTAGCTGTCCTAACTTTGTAGACCAGGCTGGCCTCGAACTCACAGAGATCTGCCTGCCTCTGCCTCCTGTTGG